AACTTCTGTGGTTAGTCATCACTTGAGCCTATTCAATTGTTCTTTGATGGCAATCTTCCTGAGATCGCAACCAGGAAGTTTTCAAAAAAATGTTATCTGGCAGTGAGGCCCCCAAGGACGGACACGACGAGGTGTTGATAAAAATTACTATTGATTAATGAGGATATATGAAAATAATTCGGAGAGAAAGAATCTAAGATGACAAGACTAACTAATCATGTTTGGAACTTGTGACTCAGGAGCAATTTTAGCTCAGTGTTGCCCGTAAAATGAGTCATCCTCTCTGTCTCTGAATTCTTGGCCGTTCTTTCCTTCTTTCTATTGGAAGAAAAATCAAAAACGCCGAAGAAATTGGTTGCATGTCTTTGAAATCATCAGTCATCGGTCGTATTTAACGATCCTTAAGATGTCAATCAGGCTTATTATTTGTTCGCCACAAATCTCTACATTTACTAGTAGACGTTAGCAGCGGTCCTGGTAATATTCATTGCTGAGTTATTCCTCCGTGGTGTGCTCAAAAGGATTTCAAATATACATAGAAGCAACTCACTTTCGCTTTTCTGTTCGAGGGTTTCTACTGGAACCTGTTTATACGCTCATTTCAGTTGCACAGTTTCCAACTAGCAAATCTTAGAATCGTGATCATGATATTTATTCTCTGTGTAAGAGCAACTTCTCCACGTTTTATTCTGTGTTTGCTGCGATGAAACTCAGAAGAACTCAGTGTTTGAGAACGAACGAAAACTACGAACTCTTATGCATTACGATCATCATTTTTCGCCGACAGTTTCTTGCTTAGGCCATCAAGCTTATGGAGCGGCGTGCACATCATTGATCGAGTTATTAATCCACTTATAAGGACAAAAATCATTCAAACACACCGAGCACAGAAAACAGATCATATTATCGGCTGGATTTCGTGTAACCGGAAGGTGTGATTCTCACGCCTTGAGGATGAAATTATTAGCTCGCCAAACCACTAGTTGCGTTAAGCCCTTTCAATAAATACCGCAAAAGCGTAAGAATGTCACTTCATTTAATTAGCTGATCCCAAAACAATAAAAAAAACGTGAGGTTTGGACAATGACCCAAGATAAGCGATGACAAGAGGGCACGTATATGCTTATTAGACAATATCAAATAGGTGCTTTTGAAACAAAAAGACGGAGGCCATTTTTTGGCAGAGCATTTCCTAGAACGTTTAAAATCTCCTTTTTTCGTGGAAATATTAATTCGTTCCTGCTTTTGCCTAAAAGAGCGCGGGGTGAGGACACGACCAACGGTCTTGTATGATCTGGAAGCTAATCGATTTAAAGTTTAGTCCGTTGCGATGTATATATGAATATATATTCTGGTTGCAACGCATCGTAACATATCTTCTAGGTAAGTTTACTCTGCTCTGTCCTCTGATTACTTCAAGTCATTATTAAACCGCCACTAAAAGAACGCGCTCTGTAATTCCAACTGAACACACAGCAGAACCAGAAGTTAAAAGACTGACAAAAGAACAGTTTAACTGAAAATAACATGACGGTCAGGTATAGTCAAAAAATAAAATCAGGCTTTATTTTTTGAAATCACGCATACGAAGTCAGTCATGGCAGATGTAGGATCAACTGTAGAATTCAAGTCACATAGCTTAGAAATGAGCAACTAAGCCAGCCGGCTGTGTAAATCACTTCATGAACCCAGCCGATAAATCGACGACAATCCGGCCTGACATGAGAATAATTTACAACTCTGGTTCTGTTCGTCGTTGGACTGGTCTTCCCTGAAAATTTCTGAGTGAAAAATTCCCTAGATTTTTAGAGCTGGATCTCTGTCTCGTGGCAATGCGTATATACCTTAATATTTTCAGTTGATGACTTGAACTTGCGTGAAAAAAAAAAAGAAATAGACACAATACTTAATTGTAAAGCTTCAGTCGGCTCGGAATTGTAGTAATTATAATAACAGTAGTTAACCAACCAACTTTTTCCGCAAACGAGAGCCTTGCATACAATGTCTTTTTATCATTTTACTCATAAAATGTCAGAAAAAACAAGGCGGTAAAAACCTGTAAAACTACGCCCTCAAGGAACTTGAATTCAGTTCAGTCACTGAGCCAATAAAGGATCTTTTCTCAGGAATTGAAGATAAAAGAATCGGGAAAGTGACATCATTTTTGCTCTGGGTATCGGGGGTAAAACGGAATTGATATGAGTTTGTTTCAGTTTTTCATTGAGATAAACTGGTCTAATTTAATGCCGCCAGAGTGTGGATGTAAACGCCCTTTCTTTTTCTGTATCTGCAAAAAATCATACCTATCTAACATGGAATCGATCAGGTGGGTGGAATGGAATAGATATATGTATGCGCGTTTTCCGACAGCATGGTAAGTGATCGGTTCAAGTTTTAATTTGTCGCCTATCAGTTCTTTTTACTCTTATTTGCGAGCTGAATTCGCTTTGAGTTGCTCTTAACTTACTAATCCACATTGTTACCTTGCCCTTACCGACAACTGGCGTGATTTTTCATTGTTGAGTAAGCCCATAAAGACTCTTGCATATTCACTCAAAGGTTCCTACCAACTCCAGTGGCTTTTCATCGCTACGTATACAGTCTATGTTATTCTGCTGTGACAATAATCTTCTTGAGTTCTCAATATGAAAGTTTTACCTTACAAGAAAGAAAGGAAAGAAAGGTCGTACAAACGTTGGAGATAAAGAATCCCAAATAATAATATTGATAAGTCATCACCGCAGTTAATTCAGGAAATATACTTCAGTTGTTAGTTATATTGTTGTTTATCCATTTCGTCCCCAAATTCTCGGCTATCTTATATATCCAGTTAAAATTTGACGGGAAAATTGAAAAGGAAATGAAGAAATTTGTTGCGACACGGTTTCTTTAAAATCATTAGTCATCGGTCGTGTTTAACTCTTCCTAAATTCTCGGTTCTTTTTTCGCCATAATATAAAGGTACCAATCGTCGTTGTGGCACGAGCCAATCATTCTTCCGAGCTATACTCGAAGGTAACCAAGAAAAATCTTAAATAGAAGCAATATCTTTAGGTTTTTGCTTCAATTATCGCGTATTCTGGGCACATGGCGGTTAAGTGAAGTTATGCACATTTTTCAAAGTTTCACATCAGAAAACTATTTCTTAAAACTTTGTGTAGAGCTCTGTCTTATTTGCCTAAAGACTCCTCATTTTTATTTCTTGAAGACTTTGAGAGCAGTTCCAAGAGTCGTTTTCCACTTCGTCCAGTGTCCGCCAGAAGGAAACTCCAAGCGAAAGAAAAGGTACGACCTCCTGGACGCTTCCTTCAGTTTTCCGCTCTCATTTTTCCCTTTATGCTCGCTTCTAAGTCTCTTGCTTTCTTTCTTTGAGTTATGGAGCGGCATACACATCCTTGATTGAGTTATATAGTAATCTTCTTTTAAGGACAATCGTACAAACAGATCTAGAACATGCCAAGAAAGCCGCGGATTATACCCGCAGTTTATGTGACCGGAACTTGAGACCCACGCCTTCATTTTGTGTTATTAGCTGGCTATACTTCTATTTGCGTTAAGATCGTTAATGGTTACCGCAAAATAATAAGAATGTCACTTGGAATGATTAGTGGGTACCACAACAATTAAAAAGCGTGGGGTATGGTCAATGACTCAAGATTTGAGATACCAAGAGGGCACGTATACTACATCATGACCGTCATACACTATAAGGGGTGTTTCTGAAACAATAAAAAGGGAGCCATTCACAGGCAGAACATTTCTAGAAACTCTTAAGTGGGCCGCTGCTGCTTTTATCGCAAAGGGGTGACGACTTGGTCAAAATTCGCTCGTCATATTGAATATGTGCTTCAGATCAGTTTCGTCCGCTATCATGTACATACTATTCTAGATGCAATAAATTATTGCGTATCCGATATCTGAAGGTAGTTTAATTTCCTCTCCTTTCCTCAGTGGAGGCCCCCAGTTCATCATCAGTGGGTGCTTGTTTACACCCTCACGCGGAATACGTAATAAAACTACCTTAGAGGTCAAGGATAAAAAAGCTGTAGAGCTGAAAATAAAACAATAACCTTCAAAGATTAACTTTATGCTTCAAAATCACTCAGAAAAGAACGACCGAGCTGGCTGTGTAATCCATTTCATAAATCACTGCAACATAAGAATTTTGATAAAAACAAAAAGGGCTCTTTAATTTCCCTGAAAATTCCGATTGACGAGTTCTCAAGATTTGTAAGGCTGGATTTCCACTTTTTCCAGAAAATAAATTAATAGATATTAGTATTCTAGTTGTCGACTAGAATGCACAGAATAAGTAGACGCAATCTACGTGGGGCTTGGGTCCGCTCGGAATGTTGATTCCACCATCCAACCTTTTCAAACGCGAGCCGTCCATTTTTTGTCGATCTCAGTCTCCGAAGTTAGCTATATTAGACCCGTAACGTTTGGCAAGGAAACCAAATCCAATTTTAGCCTTTGAACCAATAAACGACCGACAGTGGATTTGCAGGTCCAGTAAAAGTAAGGGAACGAGATAGAGAAATTAATTTTCCGATGTAGCTCAAGAGATATGACGGAATTGATACGATTTCTATCAGTTTTGTTAAGGAATTAAATTGCATAACTTGGAATATCCTAGAACGAAGTGACTGTAGACTAAGCAAGATTATGTTAAGAGCCAATGAGAACTCAAAGTAAAACCGAGCAAACTGCATGACGCGCGGGAAAACGCGGGCGACCGAGTCGTAATTGGTTTTGGTCTTGCATCTGATTGGTTAAGAAAGGGCCAATTACAGAGCGAAGTTACGCATAACGAGATAAACCCTGGATTACTTTTGATATTCAGTTTAAAAATGCTCTTGGCCACTAACTCAATTTCTTATCAACAAACGAAATCCTATCATCATCTAAAATGTACTACTTTTGAAGTCTAAAACGTTTGAGATCGAGGTACGCATATGTGACACTATAATTTATGGTAAAAAATTGAACAAAGTGAAACTGCCTCTCCGAATAATAAGTTTATTTAGTTGATACAAAGTCAAAAGTCATATCGTTATCATTTTAAAGTCCTTCCAGACTATATCAATAACAGTCACTATAAATAGATGAATCACTGATCATTAAAATAAATGGCATTAGATGCACTTAAATTGCGATCATGTTATTTTAAATCTGAACTACACATCTGCATAGACATAAGTACGTACTTTCACTTCAATGTCAACATTTTTATAACAAAAACTAGAGATTTACTTTCTCTCTTTTTTTATTTTAAAAAAATGTTTCTTGAGAAGTATCAGGAATATTGTTGTAACTCCAGTCTGGACAAAAACTAACCTAATGGCCTCTCATTCTTAAACCCTCGGCAAATAAAAAGCACTGGGAGGGGGGAGTGGAATGGGAAAGTAGGGTATTAAATTTCTGCATGGGGAGGCCCCCTCCCCGAGGTGCAAGGACCGTCCTCTTTTTATAAACCGATTCCTCTGAAAATATAACTTCTTTAGCATAATCATACCTCTTTCACAAGCAAGCTTAACAGCACTTTTTCAGAGCCCTTCAAATGACGCGTACGAACGATATTTCTGAAGAAAATCTAAAGCCCATATGAATGCCTAAATGATAATTTTCGTACTCTTTGGCGCAGTTAGAGCCTGAGAAGGGTACTCTTTTAAGGCGGAGCCCTTCTGTGCAAGCCATTTAAAGGATTACTCCCTGGGAAATTGCTATATACTGTCCTAGCATGATATGTCTTTCCCTTAAGCCTGTGACACCCGGATTATAATGTACATCCTCCTCAAATTATCAATACACTGTTAAAGTTTCAATCACCTTGTGGGGTATCATCGTAATATATCGCTAAATTCTCCCAACTAACTTAGAAGAAATTTTATCGCCGCGATAAGCGAGTATGGCGAATTTGATCATAGAAGTTACATTGAAAAAAGCTAGTTGTTCTCCTTCTGGAGTATTGGATTCAGAAAATACGCAAAAACCATAAGAAGATTTCTGCCTGGTTCTGCATCCTTTTAGTCTTCACATTAAGTAACCTAAGAAAATCAGAGCTCTGACAATTCGATTTTCAGTATCCACTGGAGACTGGGAAAAAGAATACATAACATGCAAAATATATTACAAAAATGTCGTACATCAATGTTTCTGTGTCTTGGTTAACCTCTATTTTCTTTTGCTTATATATTATTTATCACTAAAGTGATTGAGAAAGCTAGTCCTCTGCGAAATGCATTGAACGAACACCTCCGAAGCCAATTCACATTACACTTCAAAATGTTCCTTCATGTCTCGATCTCGTTAGGAGTAACCACACCATCTTTGCTTGGCGTGATTCGATGCTCATTTTTCTTGCTTATTTTTCGGTAAAGAACTGCTAGATCAGTTAAGATTAGGTTCAGGAGTGGAGAACCCAGAAGGGAAATGATGGGGTGATCATCGAAAATCCGTGATAAATCTGTATCAAACTGCCTCTAATTTGCGTTTTGGAGCGCATTTAAATTCAAAGCCTCTGGTAGGTAACACCCTTCACGTTACTCTGACTACTTACTCTTGGCACTGGTTTTGCTTCAACAACAACCCAACGGAAAGTGCCCCACACCATTGAAAAGTCTCAATGCCGAGGTTTTAAGCCTGTAATACTCTAACAGCCACGGTTTCAAGAGAGGGGAGGGGAGGGGAGGGGGGAGGGGAGGAGAGCGGAAAGGGAGGGGAGCTATTGCTAGAATGATAATGGACCAAAGTATATTTATTAACGGGGAAAAAGGATATTAAATGACCATTAATGTATTTCGTATGGTAATTTTCCGGGGACAAGTCTATTATATCTGGTTCCAATCCACACACTTTCCCCTCGTTAAGCTGCCAAGATCACCCCTGTCATTTTTCCTGTTATCTCCAAACCCAACCTACCTTCTAATTAAGGCCTAAGCCACTAACACATATCTTCATACTACCGTTTCTTTGCCTTGTGTAACTGAATCGTCGTTTCCACGATTCACTTGCGAGTTTAGTGATTCACAGTTAACATTCCATCTTTCCTTGTGTCTCGAAATGCCATGCGAATGCCTTCGTCGTCTTTTTTTTACTTTGTCCTTCCTCTGCTCGCTACGATTGCTGATGTGATCTTTCGAAGGATCACCTTTGAGCGGAGTTCCTTTTTTTGTAAGTCGATGGGAGTTTCTGGTGGTGACGGGCTTAGCAGTATTACAGGTTTTGAGCTGTTCATCAACTGGCAGTCGCATGTTGGGCGGAGGTCGAGCCATGACCTCAAATGAATTCACATAGATAGCGTTTTCACCTAAAGATCTACTCCGGGTGCGCAGGGATAAGATAGGAGTCCCTCGGGCAGAAGATGTAGAAACCGCCGGTACATTACGAGCGTGAACACTATCTTTGGTTGATGTCTCCTGTAGCGACGATGTTCGCCTCCTTGAGCCTGAGGAAGCTTCAACTAGTTCTGAGAACTCCGCTTGAATTCTAGACTTTGCAGGATGATTAAGCAAAGGCGTGGCTCCAATAAGAATTGTCTTGTTTATATCAGTGTCATTAACATTCGTTTGTTGTTCAGAAGAGCACCTATTACAGCTGCTTGACAAATCGGATGAAGCGCTAGCTGTGAGAAGGTCACTACTGTCCGACATAGCATTGAGGTGGCCATTCCAAGGCACACCTCTACCTTGGAGGTTGCAACCTTCCCTAGAGATGCTAAGGGTGGCTGAAGGCGGGGCCCTGAGTTCCTCGTCGTAATTTAATGCCTGATGCCTCGAGTGCATAGGCTGGAAATGTACGTCCGTTTCAGAAGATTGTGGTAGATTGTTTGAAGACTCCGGAGAAGTCAAAGAGTTCTGAGAATCGGCTAAGGAAGGGTTCTGTGATGAGTAAGGTGGAGGTAAGTCAGTAGGGTCAAACACTGGAGGCGGGACTATGCATGACGACAGACCATATTCTTGAAAATTATCCACGGAGTGATATACCGGTGGCGCGTAGGGCGGCAACATTGTAAGGTCTGTCGAACAAGGAGCCCAAGTGTAGCTGTCTGGGTTCCTACTAGCATGGGACCTCCTTGAACTATGGCGACCACAAAGCCCCTAACAGAGAAAAAAGAGTAGAGAACTAAACACTACGAAATAGGAGAGTTTTGCAAAGAAACCACCCCCTGAATGAGTAATCTATGTAAATGTAAAATGAAGAGGGGCGGGAATGGGAAACGATGAGGAATGGGGGAAAATTAGTTCTAACTCAATTTTTTCAACAAAACACTCTCTAAATGTACCACATGCAGGAGTTGGAATAAAGGAAAACGGAAAGGAAGAGGATGGGAAACGGAGGGGTAGGATAGAACAGAGTAGGGGAAGGGGGGGGGGAAGAGGAGGATGAGAATTACATTGCATAAGCAGAGGTAAACGAACGAAAACTTTCAAAACATAAATTATGCCCATCGTTCACTACATGCATGTGCATTTTGAGGAATTTCTGATGATTAGTTGGGAACGAACCATAAACACTTAACAAACAAAGTAGAAACTGAAGGGACCACAAGGGTGTTGCTGAGATTACATCATAGTACATGCATCTATTGAACGTCTACCCCGCCCCCCTTAAATCAGAAAACGTGTCAATTTGTCATCTAAAGACAACCTGCCATGCCACAAATTCTACGAAGATACTTGTGAGAAACACTTACCCATAAGTCTTTACTGTATCTTTGGGAAATAAATTTTAAAACAACTGATACAATCATTCCTCTCACCTGATGTCGACTTGTTTGACGTGCTACTGCAGTACATCCCAAGATAGTTGCAATGAAGCACAGTAAGCTTCCAAAGATGGTTAGAACACAAAGTCCATATAACAACCCAGTAAGTAGTCCTGTTATCACACTGCAGTCCTGCACCCCCTCAAATTCCACCACTCCCACACCTTGATAGCAGGCCATTTCAGATTCACAGCACTTGCAGCGAGGCCCTAAAATTTCTTTTTCACACATGACAAGTGATCTGAGCAAGCCTCCTGCATCTCCTGTTAGAATTGTACCAATCATCTGCAGAACCACACATACCGCTGAGAAGAATGTGAACAAACTCATCTGAAACAACAAAATAATGTTTAGAAAAATGAAATAAAAATATTTTACAATGGAAAAAATCATGAATTCAAAAGTGTAACATAATAAAACTGCTTGACATTTTTATCAGCATAGTTCAGTTTTAAAATTTTTTTTTCCAAATGATCATTTTTAATGTTACAAACAAACAAAACAAAACAAAAAAAAAAAGGATATAAAAGGAAAGAGATAAATTTGATCTACCAGTAAATTCAAGGTGCTCAAGAGCAAAAGAAATTTGCTAACATTTTTAACATTGATGCTTTTTTTTCCTTTAGATCACATTGTTTGTTGATGTTCCTTTGAAAAGTCCATATATTAACTTTAAAACTTTTGGAGGGTAAAGCAGACAAACCAAAGCTAAACTACTCTAGAAACTCACAGAATGCAAAGGAACACCCACTGGAGCAAGGTGATTTTTAGGATTTCCAGTTAAGAATGGGTCTGTTAAGTCCCAATCAAATTCTTATATTTTGCCCATAACAAGACTTATTGTGAGAGCTTGGGCTACCTGTGTCAATGTAAACTCACTGCTCTACATGGCATATTGGTAAAGTATGCAGAGTTGATTTGGTTGTGAAACCACATCATGGTTAACATCTCAATCAACTGAGTTAATAAATAATTTGAGATCTCTAGCAATTTAGTTGGCACAAACTTGACCATAAATGCTCTCATAAACTATGTGCCTGGAGAAAAAAAAAATATTCAGTGCATACTCATACGGGGAGTAAATATGAGAAAAAACATGAAAGGATTTGCCACACATTTTGCTATACAATGTACATGTAGTCTACATCATCCTGTATGTTAAAGGAAAACTTCCTTCTAGTAATTGGCCATTTCATTGTTAAATGAAATTCAAGTCGTTATGCAATAACTACATATTAAATGTAGTGTGAACTGTTCGAAAGCACCAAATTAGGAAACTCTTGAACAAATCATTCCTAACTTGATTGAAAAGAACATGCCCATAGAGGAAACCACTGTTCAGTTCAAAACTTTCCAAAAAGATAGAAAAATGTAATTCACATGTAGGTGCCTTTAAAGGAAAACAATGTTCAGTTCAAAACTTTCCAAAAAGATGGAGAAATGTAAAGTGTAATAATATCATATATCATTTATTATCAAAATACCACTCATTTAAAGTATAATGACACAAAAAAATTAGAAGGAATAAACCAATAATTTAGAAAGGATGAAGAAGACCACCATTTATTTGTAAAAAGAACTCACTTGAAAATTGTAAAAGCAGCCTTAATTTTAACAGATGCAGAAAATTTCACTATTGTAGTAAATTTCAACAGAAAGTGTCTTCTCTTAATTTTTCGCAGTTTCTAGATAACTGCAGTGATTGTGCCTAACAAGATGCCATGGCAGGCCAAATTAGAAAGGGGGTTAATTAAGTGCCAGTACTTTAGAATATAGGACAGAACCATTCATGAACCCTGAATTGTTCCTGTACACTGGGGCTTAGAATAAAAATAGATACCATACACATATCATAAAAAATTTATAACTCTAACCCATCAAGACTGTATTTAACTTTTAAATCAGTTCTTTCTCAATGACATGTAAATGGCAACTGCCGGAAGCAGTTCACAAAATATTCCTCATTTTATGTAAATTGGCTCGGTCATAAACACTGCTAATATAGCTTCGCATACTGCAATGCTAAATCAATATTTCTGATTCTACCAGTGTACGAAAAAACATTTTTAGATTTAGCTACAGGTAAACATATATAGATTTAAAATATAAAAAAAAACCTAATACAAAACATCCCTGAAAAACCTGTCGAAGTTAAGATTACCAATAACTTTCATGACATCATGGTTAGTTTTATCAAGCACACTTGGTATTGCAAATCATGCATAAAACTTGGCATAAAAAAAAAGTGTAGACCAACAGCTCTCTAAAAATACAATTGAATATTTGTGTAATTGTGATAACATTTGTCCTAGCTGATAACAATTATAATAATACTTGTTTGCAAAGTCCACTGTTGTTGTAAAATGGCACTGAACCAGACGTTAAAATAAATTTTATTCATTAATTTTATAATTAGTATGCAAACTCAAAAAAATTTCCAAAAGGAAACCACTAAAAAAAATGTGATTGATAGCTTAATTCATGCATGAAAAGACCACTGGCTCAAGAAACACCAAACAAGACATGCGCAAAAGTTGTCAAAGACAGCACATCTTTGACAACATAAGCACCAAAAAATGGCTTGTAGGGTCAATTGAAGCGATTTTATCAAAACTTTCCACCAATTGTCTGCATAGAAAACATTTGAACTGCTTCACTAAGATTTGCACTGAGTTCATTGATGAAATCTGTGACAGCAAAGACAAGGGGCAGGTGGTTGAATGCTGGACATGGGACTGTCTTTGTTGCAGACAAAATGTGCCCTGTATTTGTGGCCTATAGGGGCTGAAATACTAGGATTTTTCCTAAATGAAGTGATAAGGTACCAATGGTATAGTGCAAGCCTCAATTTGCTAAGAAAAATAGGGAGCAGGAGGAATTTGAATGGGCTTGTTATGAAGATGCCATTCAATGGCACTTCTGTCCAATTAAGGTAAGCATTTCTTTCTTGCAATATCCTGTCTAGTTTTCTATCAGCCATTTGAAACTCGGTTGAAAATCAGTTTCATCTTTCACCTGAAAATGTTTTTGTGATACCTTGCGAGAAAAACCTGACCTCAAAATAAATTACTCAAAGGCATTGAAGAAGTGTCTAGCTGTGAAGAGTTAGGTTAGACTAATTGGTGATGATTACCCATCATTTTAAGGAAAATAGTTTTGAAAGTTTTATTTCCTCAACCATAAATTGTATAGGCTAAGATTAAGTTACGTTTATGTTTTTTTGCAAGTTCTTGTCAGCAAAACACAAGTATATGTCATCAACCTTTAATGTGTTTCTGGTTTTAAAACAGCCCATCAATCATCAGTTTAAGTGTCTAAATCATGCTTTCTATGAATATTGTGTCTCTTAATTGCAATTTGCATCAATAAGAAGTATTACAACTTAAAGTGACCAAGCAAATGATTTGTCTCATTGAATTTATGGAATAGGCTTTTCCAGATTGTTCCACAGCAGTCTAATATTCAAATCATTCATAATTCATGGAAGGAGAACTTAAAAAACACTTTTTTTGACAACCGCTTTCTTTACAGAATAGTGCATCCCATTCCACTGAACAAACTAAGACCATGAATTCTTGGAAAAAAGACCATCTAAACACCTGTAACCATTAAGGAATTGGATTTAAAGCTAAGTATACAAACTTTTTCATTCAACATAGTGCATGTATCAAACAATTTTCATCTGTCAGCATCACAACTCAAGCAGCGCACAGACCACATGGTTCTCAAACTGTCTCAGCTTGTCTGAAAACGTTTTGCCACAATATAGAAACCCAGAAAACAATAGCAATATGATTATTCAAAGGTATGTAAAACACTTAAGGGTCATGGGGTGAAGTGTCTGGTATTTGTTATCAATTTTACATAAGTTTAAGGCATTGTCTGCTGTTTATCTCTCTAACTCACCAGATGCACGCAGAAGTCTGTATGTCATAGAGCGAGAGATTTAAGAGTTTATAATCAAGCATTTAAAAATTAACGAGTATATAATACCTTTAGTTGTCCACTATTGATATTGACTAACAAACAACAAAACATTTGCGTGTGCATCACTTGGGATCAGACATTAATCCATTCAAAATACGTAACAAGGTCAAGCTAGTTTTCAACTGGCCACATATTGCACTTTATTGGAAGAGTAGACATTAAAAATGATAAAACAAGCTACCATTTCTTGAGAAGATTGAGTAATAATGGAGTCAGTACTCTATACAAAGCGCACAATTAAATTATAATTAGATGTTTGACAATTTGCTACACATCTTTAAAGTAGGACTCTGTTAATCAGACTCAGTCTTAAATCGAGTAATAACTTGCTTAACCACAAGACAGTCTGACAATAAGGTTAAATAACATATCAGTAATGCATTAAAGAAGCTAAATGAAAGGGAAAAAAAACTGAATGTGATCCAGTCTCCACTGGATAACACATTTCATCTAAGACTTCTGTTTATAGCATATGCTGTTTTAAGACACTCTTGTTAGCATACTTCTCTTGTGATGACCACCTCAACAAAACTCAACTTAAATCAATACAGACTCCATATTTATACTTTTCCGTAAGCAGCTGCAGACACTTTCAAGGATTATGGCTCAGACACTTCCTTTGTTTTAAGTTTCCGTAGGTAGACCCCAAAAACATCTTCCCATTAGCCTTTGATTCTTGTTTTAATAATCAATTATGTATCAATGTTTGTTTCAATAATTTTACACCACTGCATAAATTAAAGCCCAATATTTCTGTGTTTCATTTGTTGTCATTTAGACCCGGCTTAATTTCAATATTCTTGTTTGCTGAGCGTGCTCTTATGTTAAGAAATTATCTATCACTTATGCCTTTTATTCCTCGCCCACCAGGACTATATTCATGTACACTGCAATCTTCAGCTACTGATAACTTTCTCACTTCCAAGGGGTCTCTCTCAGATTCAGTTCTCCAACCCCTTATAAAAGTATCATTTTTATGCAAATGTCTCTCTAATTACTTGAGAATCTTCACACAGATTATTCTTTCAAACAACATCAACATAAAACATGACTTGCATGTCAAATCTAAAACAAAACTAAAACTATTGAATACTTCTGAAGCCACAGTGTTTGACTTCCTTCGCACCTTAATAAAAAAATAAATTTCTTGATAAAGAAGTTATACAGTTGACTACTAACATATCAAACCTTCCAAAGAAATAGAAACTGCTCAGACCTCTCATGAAAATAAAATAGGCTCCAGGTATTGTAAGAGTTAATTGTTGGCTGTAACTTACTGAACTTTGATAGGCAATCTGGTAGCTGGTCGTCATGAAATTACAATTAGTAACACCACACATAAATGACTAAAAGAAAGAATTTATCTCTGATCCTGCTACTGCATTATAGTATAGGACAACAACTACTCATTATCTCTGAGTTAGTTCTTAAGCTGTAACTTTGTCCTGATTTTGATCTCCATAAACTACCTCAAAAGTAACTGTAGTAAAATGAGATACATCTTTGACTAAATAATCTACCCCTGATTTAGAAGCCTTTAATTTTTCGTACATGCCATCTCAAACAACACATTGAACCCCCTAAAAACTAACAGTGTCAACATCAAGTGTCTGTCAATACAGGGATTTATAACACTATTTCCCTGCATTCATGATCTGCAAAATTTGGGAGGGTATTAAATGATATTTGAGTGGCAGATCTTGGAAGGTAAACAGTAACCTTTTTAATTAAAATTTACATAAAAGAAAAACACAACAAGACTTAATTTAAAATACAGCTGCGACCCAGGCTAATGTTCAGTGTGTATACAGTCTGGTTTGAGGAATTTTTGCATATTGTATAGACAGTAACAGTTCAAAGAAGGATATATTTTGGTTTCATTTCACGTTCTCAAAAAACCATAGTACCATAATTTGCGTCAAAATTCATTGACAGAGCAGGGATTGAATATATTGAAATACTGTGCAACTCCAAAGCTTTGAAACGAATAAAAATTTGGAGGATTTTTGTTGGACTAAAAATTGTCACTTGATATATCACATCTCTAGACTACTGACAACACGCCTAATAACTGTCTGATCATTTCATAAGAATGAATTCGACTTGTAGATTACGAAATACCGTGTAGTGAGAAGGAACATCCCATATTTCAGTTTCAGATGTGCTTCTTGAGTAAAGTACATTCAATCAATAGCAGAGGAGATGTCATTCATCCCCCCTTTCGTGTAGTCTGGGCAAACATCACGAGTTCAAGCATTCATTTTTTGTCGACATTTTATTAGCCCAAATTTTTTCACCTAATGTCTAAACCCAAGGAAAATATTGTTCGGTAAAAAAATAGGGTGATCTTGATAAGAAAAAAGTAATGCAACTCTAGCACAGTTTGTAAAGGAGGTCTAGTTGTGTGTATAAATAAACCGACACACAGGAAATTATTTTCAGTCCTACAGATTTAGCTCTGGATACCACCGACGCGAAAGCTACATGTATGAAGAAGTGCCTTTCAAACGATAGAGAGAATATACTCGTAGGCTTCATTTTAGAATTGAGGGTGGAAAATATACATTCAATGGACTCACCGACATCACAGACGAATGCTTCCAAGCAATTATACCTACACCACCGCTCCAAAAAACCTATTAAAGAAACACAGAAGCGTCAAGTTTGTCAATGGAAATCACGCCAACATCTCACCGCTACAATCAATGGTCACAGATTTTAAGTCATGCAAGGCAAGAGGATTTTACCGCGAATCCAGCCCAGTAAGGACAAGCGTTACGTATTCTATCCGAAGAAGTGAAGGCGAAAGCTGCGAAAGACAACGCAGTTAATGAGACGCCTAAGAGGATTTGAACAACACCAAATCCAAGAGTAGTTCGACGAATTTTGAACATCTGTTGACTTCGTGTATCTTGTGTGTTCATCTTGTGAAATTGAAAGTTTCGATGCGACTAGGTCGCCTTTGGTGAAACATAGCACGAACCAAATACATTAACCTAATTCGATCGTGCCTCCGGCGAGAAATGTTCAAAACTCAGACTGCCTTCATATCATCTTTGTCCCAGACGATTGGCCGGAAGCCTCATTCTGATGTTCCGTCTGGTATGCGAGCTGATCGTTACAAGGGAGGGGAGGGTGACTTATTGCGTTCCTTTTGGTATTTTTAAAATTCCACTCAGGAATTTCTTTCACTTCATTTACTTCTTCACCGAGTATTTTCAGAAAATACTAACTCCGCGGTTCAAATCACTAAATTTCATGTTTAAGTGTCAAAAGGGAACAAGGGGTCTTAAAAAAGGCCCAGCCCTACCCTAGCTGGGAAGGTTTTTCGGTTTAGTGCCAGTCAACATCGAAGAGAACCAACGTCCTAGTCCTTAGGCATTTTATAAAGATTGAAATTCTAATCGTCGCCAGTGGTGTTTACTGCTGTATTAGGCAATATTTTCATGTCAAGAAATATTCCCTTGAGGGTAAAAGAGGACATTTTTGACTTTCGTGTGACCGCTCTTTCAAGAAGTATTTATTTTATTGACGACCAACAGCGCCAGACTAAACACTACTGAACAAAGAAACGACGATAAATAATTCATTATCTATTCATGACGCTGTTATTTCGTTCTCCCTTTTCTTTTCCTTTGCGGTTTATGAATTCATTATGATCGTGTCATGAATCAAAAAAGGAAAAAAATTGCGATGATGCAGCAAAAAATTGGCACAAAGGCAGACATTTTGTGGTTAAAATCCGACATATTTATACTTTCGTGCACATGAAATCAGCATGAGGTGCATTTCGATTTTTTTTTCATTGCGTGCTAATTATATTCCCCACATCCTGGTCGTGTTTACCAATATTAAAACAATTTCTTTGTGAATGAAGGCTTGTTGAAAATACGCTGATGCACCATTTTCGTCTTGAAAAAAGATGAACAATGTCGGTGCTGAAGAGGGTCATGAAGCAGGACTGAAAAGATTAAAAAGTAATGAAGAGCTGAAAATCGTCCCTTTTTTGATCTATGTAAGATCCAAATGGAAAAAAAATTGATACAGATGTCTTCCAGCCTGTCGATGTTACAAAACAGGAATAAAATCACTTAAAAAATCGATTGAATTTTCTGTTAGCCAAAACTCCACCGAACCTTAATAAAGGGATGAATTCAAGATTGTCTGATAACGATAGTCCCCTGCTATTTCAGACCTCCCTATGAGAAACGAAACTTACTCAATACCGAGTGGCTTTTCTTTTTTAAGACAAAACATGGGGCTAGTAGCTGACATAAAAACGCTTGCTATTATTTCTGTACTCTAATTTGAACAAACAACCACGCCAAAAAAACAGCAGGTGGAAGTTTTGGGCCTTTGTAGAAATTGAATTTCGTGACTCCTGCCGACTGCGCTCAGAAAATAAACGCATGCGCATAAGTACCGTGGAGGCTGCGGGTTCTAGCAGAACCGCCTCGAGACAACCAAGCATGGTTCGTTATGGTGTCTTCCTTACAACTCAGCACGACTGTTCGAGGCCACCAACTGAGTTTAAGGAAGTCTTTCTCACGCAATGTTTCTTTCCACTTGGCGTCATGGTAGTTTTTAAAGATTACCTCTGAAATGTAGTTTCACACATGTTATAGGAACGTATTTCATGGTAGCCGTTTCTGAGGTTCGTGCCCTATGCGAGGAAATGCCGCCAAGCTCTAATCTGACTCGTTGTCTTAAGAGGCTTAAGCCACGGCTTCTTTCCATTCTCAAATTCACAAACCAACGTCTACCTAATTTTCTTTCACACCGTCATTTTCAAATTGTCGAGGTTACTTCGCTCTTTTCCTGTATTTCAAGATTGTTTCGAACGAATTGATGGAATAAACAAACTGAAGCTGAACAGAAGAGACATTTGACCAAGTGAAGTGATCACGTATCGCCTAAATTTTTAACTTATTTATCCTCGTTCAGTTTAAGTTCCTTTTAGAACCTGCAATTTACTAAAATCAAGTCTTGCGAAAAATCAGTGGAACAGAATCGGCCAGGCAACGTTGTTCATAGTTCCGTGTGTGTGGTGTAGTGGTTTTCGGGTGTCGAAGAGCCTGCCTTCGGGTTACAGTTTTATAGGTTTCCCTAAGTTCTCTTTCTGCTGATGATTTAAAATAACAAGAAAAGACAATCTGATATCGATCGGCAACTGAAAAAAAATGCAATTAAAAATTGAATCGAGATACTTTCCTTACAAAAGTTTTTTAAAAGTAGTCATACTTAAAATAGCCAATGAAATTTTCACTTATGGTCAGATTGTTTACAACAATTGAAAACGTGGGCCATAAGAATTGACAATCATCCGCAGCTCCCTTCTGATCCGACTTAAGATTCAATGCCTCGGGCAAAATAAAAAGAGAGTTATAACATATTGGAGTATGACTGTAATCGATAACTGCTTTAACAATGAAATAACTAAGGGTTCCGTTAATTCATTTCTGATTGACAAGAATTTTAAGGCACTTCAAGAAACACCGTCCAAATTGATCTCGAAAGTACACGAGGGATACTATGCAACTTTTTTCGTGCGCGCTGCCATTGTAAGCGGCGAACAAGTGTTTACTGAGTTTTCTATGGCTTAGGAAGCAACAACAATTAAACCCTCCAGACAGCGACTACTTGATCCGAACTCAGTGGGGCTACTAACCCTGACAAATATAATTCGTTCTCCATGAATAGTGGTCATTCATAAGTAATGAAACTTCTTGAATATTTGAGTTTCAGGTTTTTACTGACGCAATTGTGCCTCAATTAAGGTATAAATTGGCTCAAGACTCACAATGAAGACCCGTTGTACTCTCACGACACAGCCTTAACGTTTTGAGAACGAATTTTATTGTTAAGTTCCACTCGATCATTTATCATCTTATTCTTCTACGGTCTCTTTGACATATCAAAATACTCAATCACACATTCCTTAATTACTCGAAACCAGACGATTCAAAATGCGCTGAAAAAAACACTTTCCTTTCTTTTGAATGCAGTGTCTTAATCCTTTCATGATACGCACGCACGCTATTAAATACGTCGTTGGGTGGCTTCGTCCACCCTGCAATTTTTGCGCCCAGAAATGGTTTCCTTTTTTCTTGATAAGTTAGTTTCACGAGTAACTGTTTCAGCAGCCCGGCATATACATGACTCATCTTCGATCATTAATAAACATTCGCCGCGATCGTTCATGGAGCTTTACGATGCTCCCGCAATCAGACAATTCATTTCAGGTCGGGAAATTGATTAGTTTCCATTCACTTCTTGACACTTTTCCTCCCAACTGTCTATGAAGTATTTAGAAACCAGCTCTTTGAATCTAAAGTAAATAAAGAATGAGACAAAATGTTCGGTTACAACATACTCTTCAACTTAATCCTCGTAATCGGAATTTGATGATTGATGGAAGATTTCAGTGGAAACCATTGTTCGGGTTTCAATCTAAAGATGAAGGAGTCAGTAAAATGTTTTTAAATGAGATATCTTTCACTATTTACTTTCCCAAGCTAAGCGCATTCTTGTTTTTTCTTTTTTTATGGCGGTGTCCTTTGAACCTGACTAATCGTATTAGGAATTTTTTGAAAGCGAAGTTTTCAAAGGCAAAACAATATCGTATTTTCTCTATAAAGTCTGCCTCGAAGATTTAATTAAAATTTCGCATTGTGACATGTTGACAGCACAGACAAAAAAAAATTGGCGTTGTCTTATCTCCAAAAAAATCTCGCGGCATGTAAAAAGAGGGATACAAGTTGCAACAGGCAACAGTTTTGGAAATTGCCAGACTTTCATCAGAACGAGACCAAAAAGTATTCGATTGGAATACTCTTCGAATTTGACTTGACTAAGTTGAAAGGTAGAAGTCCATCTCCCTTCACGTCATTTGCATGCAAATGTCCACAAACTCCGTAATAGATTAAAATACCATCGCCAGACAGTTTCTATCTAGGAGGTGTAAACTACTCTCTGTATTGAATTCAAGCCTTAACATTCGTTAATAAATTGAATACATCGGCAGACAGTTTCCATCTAGGAAGTGTACACTACTCTCTGTATTCAATTCAAGGCTTAACACTCGTTAATAAATTGGATACACCGTCCGACAGTTTCTATCTGGGAGGTGTAAACTACCCTCTGTATTAAATTCAAGGCTTAACATTCGTTAATAAATTGAATACATCCTCCGACAGTTTCTATCTGGGAGGTGTAAACTACCCTCTGTATTAAATTCAAGGCTTAACATTCGTTAATAAATCGAATACATCCTCCGACAGTTTCTATCTGGGAGGTGTAAACTACTCCGTGTGTTAAATTCAAGTCTTAACATTCGTGAATTAATTGCATACATTCATAATCTATTGCTTACTTTTCCATAGGACAGAGTGGACTAGAACATCCAGGAAGAGTTTTTTCCTTTAAAAAGTTGAGAGAAAGAAAACTTTAGAGTTTGAAAAAATCAGTCTTGCTGAAAAAAGAAACAATGTGCCATATCCCAGTCGCTTGCAAGTAGCAACCTTCAAAGTGATCAACCACATTCCCACTAATAAGAGGGCGACGAATTTCCTAGAAATTATACACTCAGCGCCAAATCAACGTGTTCTCTAACGTGTTTTGCAGCCTAGCCTGTAGACTTTCACTACATAAATTCTGATGCAAAACAACACTTTGGTAAATTAACGAACTGATGACGAAGACACACCTCGTAAGTTATTATTGTGCACACAACGATTATCACCTAAATTCGAACGTCTTTCAAGATAACTCACACACGGACATTAGGGTTGGTGAAAGTAAGGTATTCTACTGACATACGAAATGTTTAGCTTCCCTTTCTGTAGCATGCTTGGTACTGACGTTCTTAACGAACAAGTTACGGAGTGATCGATTCCGTTATGCTTGGCTAGTGGGCACTGGAATTTGCATTTTCTTTTCCTAATGTTTCTGTATTTGCTGCTGGGGTTTCTTTGCTATCGGGAATACAACTATACACCATACAAAACCCAAAATAATTTTGATAAATCTTAACTAGAAATCACCTCTCCTTGATATAACACTCGCACAAAGTAAGAGTTATCCTGAAAAAAAGAAGTGAAGAAAAATCATAAGAACAAACGACCCGCTAACATTTCTTTTCTTCATATACCAGCTATACCGTTTAAAATCAACGCGGGTGATTTATATTTTGTTTTCTATTGGGAGGGTGGGGAAAGGGGGAGGGAATTTGTTAGTAAAACCATGTAGAACTTCTTTTCGGATCGTCGAAGTGAGAAACTTCCTGGAAAGGACTATTGTAGGTGACAGTTACTGACATTTCGATAAACTGGTCATTGTCAAAGTCAAGTAAGAAACTGTCTGTCTGTCCAGTATTTTAAATTTGGCTTGTGAAACTGATTGGTCAGTTTTTCTAAGATGCTCATGGATGTAGGACTCAAATACCACACGAGACTGCTGACTTTAAGTACGTTGAGAAGGTTAGGTCGTTCTGTTCCGGTCGTTTGTTAGATTAATGTCATGAATAAGTCGTTTGTATGCTGCCGGTAGCTACCACATGTTACGCGACAAAATGCTATAGCTTCTGAACTGACTTTACAAGTAACATGACATTACCTTATCTCTGTATAGCTCAAAAGTCAGATCAGCAGCGAAGTCAGGCCATTTGTTGTCAAAGATACCAAGTGCTAACAAAAGCGCTGCTACAGATGTATCGTGAACTGAATACAACATCATCTTGTACGAACTGAAGGATCAAGAAGAAAAACATTATTTCTAGTCATTACCTAGACATATCACGCCAAAATATAAGGAGGTGCTCTCTTATCAAAAAGAAAGGATAGCATATTTCTCAATTTTTCGCCTAACGCGAAGTGAATTCTGTCCAATGATCAGAAAGACTACCCTTGCTTAGACAAAATAAAGGGCATTATCACTTGGGTGCGATTAGTTTCGACGCGTCACATGACTGAACATGCCCAGTGATACTCCTCAAGTGACATCACCCAATCTTTAAATCTTACGCCCACTGCGATGAAAGTCTTCTTTAAATTTGATTCACGATAGGACAACATTTTCTTAGTTTTAAAGCAATCGGATTGCAGCTGCGCGTGCATACCCATGAGGTTGAGACTTCAGTGAAAATTTAAGGTGGGGAAACCGCAAAAACACAGGAACAGTAATCGGTCCACACAAGGAGGCTCTCACTTCGGAAGGCTCGGCAAACACTGGCACTGATTGTAACGATAAAACTCCAATTTACTATAAAGGGGGTAAGTTTCTAAAGAAACTGTGATGCTGGGTAGGTGGGAGAGTAGAACTGGCTAATTTAGCATTATTAACTGGGTTGATACCGTAAATTGGCCACCGTAAAGAGTTTTAAAGCTGACGTTTCGAGCGCTAGTCCTTTGCCATTCGCTGACGAAGGGCTAACGCTCGAAACGTCTGCTTTAAATCTCTTTACAGTGGCCAACTGCTATTATCAACCCAATTGATAATACTAAATTATGTAATTTATTATATTCTACAAAACTCAAAAATTTGACATTCTCTCTCAGGTACTATATGTATCACTGGCTTAAAAAGCATTTCAAGCCTTTAGGATTGGAAAATGTCCATAGAATTTCTTATACAACGTAATTCTGGATGATAATGAAACTATGTAAAAAAAAAAAATAATAATTTGTACCTTTGCCCACCAATTTTTTTAAAAAAATTGTCTGTCATTTCTTCCAAAAATACTCCTATAGCTACTGAAAGGTACTCCTTCCTGTCAAAGACAAGTTAGCAGTATAAACAATACTGATTACTTCAAATAAACAATGTAACAATCAATTGAATGTCAAAGGTAACCCTGGATTGATTGGCTCATACAACGGGTGCAAAATCTTCACTGATCAAATTCAAAACGAAAACCAGTTGCACCTTGCTACCTCGTGTATTCCGTTGCTTCAGACAGTTTACCTGTTTTGGCTTCACAGCATGGAGAATTACCACAGGGGCGTGAAAGGGTTAAAATTTTTCCTCTGCTCTAATCAGTATTTATATTAGTTTGGTTAAGGTTTTATGACATTCAAAGAGAACTCTAAACAATGCGTTAATCTTTTTAAGGGAAGCAAAAAACTAGCCATTTTCATATTTGAAGGATGGCCGTACATTTTCTTGATACAATTTAATTTGTTTCTGAAGAATTTTTAAGTAGTGTGTGTACTTGACAAAATAAACTGAGCTATTAGAGCTTACATTTCTCTCTCATCTGATTATAAACTGTCTATTTTAGTTTTCAATAACTTTTGCAACCAATCAAAAAATGTAAATATATCACATGTGCACCAAAAAAATGAGTAAAATGTACTAAAATAATTAGAGAAGTGCAAAGAGCCTAACAGAGTTGTACAGCATCACCAAAACAGTGGAAAATAGACTATGAAAAAATAGTAAAATATTGCTGAGGAAATGGAGGTAGTTATAATTCATTCAAAAATGTGGAGAGAAAGGCACTCATGTTAGACTTAGAGATGGCAAGATTTAAAACTAAATTTTATTGTTTACCTTATATTTTCCATTCCACATTGTGTTACAAGAAAGACTTGTACTGCCTGTTCTTCTATTAACGTCAAATTCTGTAGAATGTTCTGAGGGACTTCCATGTTGTGGGCCTAAAAGAAACCAACCATGACATATGCATAGCTTGTGAAATTTCCTTGAATTTGGGTATTGGACAACAGGACAGAAAATTCAGATCAATATCTGTATCTGAGCAACTGCCCACCTACCCCTCCCCTAACCCAACATTAACCTTAAGTTGTTGTCAATTGACTGTTGTTGGGTTAGGGGAGGGGTGGGTGGGCAGTTGTCCAGATACTGATATTGATCCAAAAATTCAATAAAAGAATAATGTGTGGAGGAAGTGAAGTACATTTTGCCAGCCCTTTATTAATGTGTCCTTGACTGGCTCACCCTTTTTTTGAAAAAACTTTGCCTTGTCAGCTTTATTGTAATTGGTAACTTGAGCATGCTTGTAAGGTGCAAACAATTGGAAGGGAACAAGGTGCAAGAGATGCATGACACTTGAGAAATGCCTTACAGGATGTTATTACAATCATGGGTGCAAACCATTTCCACTGTTATTCAGTCTTAAGAAGTAACAAATAAATAAACATGACTCGACAAAAGAGAATTAAAAAGAATGGAAAATTATAAAAAAGAAAAGAAAGCAAGAAAATGGCAAATAGGGGGAGTCATAAATCCACTTGACCTTTCTGTGCAAGAGTAGAGATTCCCCTGGAGCTCTTATATGCTTTTCCATTTCAAGTTTTCATTAGCACTTATGCAGAACCTCATTTAGTATGAGCTAGTATTGACTTTTTACCAAGAATTTTGAGCAAGTTACTCACCAACATAGTGACAACAATATCTCTTAAGTGGACAGACACTGCAGGCTTTAAATCCTCATAATTCAAATTCAAAACTTCTCCAATCTGTTTCTGCCTGGTATAGAATCCTTCCAAAGCATCTTTCCCCTGAGCAACAGTGTATTTAACCCAATTCTTTAAAAATCTGCAGTAATTTATATTTGGGTACAAGATCTCCCTTTCTTCATCTTCTGTGTGCATGGTGACAGGGCCTGCAAGTTTGGTTCATCAAATAAATTAGGTAACAAAATAGAAAAATAGTCACATTGTTTTGACAAAGAGAGGGAGATGAAGTTGCCAGGTTGTTATAAACAGTTCTTGAATCCAGATCAAGATGTCTGCTTATTTACCCCTTACTGCAAAAGCTTGTTCTAGTTTGTGATGCATTGGCAACATTTCATTATTTAATACTAAACTCCTTTTGGAAGGAATGTTTCTACAAGTATATCATTGGTTAAGCATTGTGGGACTTGTTAGTAAAGTATTTTTCTGCAAAACACAATGATTCTGAATGATTATTCAGAATCATTATGTTTTGCAGAGAAAATTTTAATTTAAGTCAGCAGCACTGTATGTCAAGGACTACAAACAATAAAATAATTTGTGATGGACTTTTTCAGGTGCCCACTTTATAGAGCTTTGCACTATAAGAACAAAAAGTATGAGTTCATAAAGTTGCATGAATTTAATATCAATACATAATATTGCTGATATTAATCAAAAAGACTCAAAATCACCTTTAAAACCTTCTTTTCCAAACATTCCTGCTAACACACATCTTGCAGAATCCACAGTCCTTTGTATATTGGATGTACGAATACTGAAAAAAAGTCACAAATCAACCCTTTCACCAATAAGAGTGACTGGCATCTTATTTCTCTTAAGGTTACTTCTCACCTTCACAGGTATCCTTTGGTAAAAAATTTGCAAGCGTGTTAGTTTTTGTAAAATCCTAGCAAACTATATATCAGAAGAAAGCTTAAGAACTGCTGATTACGATAAAAACATAACTTAAGCAAATTTTCCTTTAAGGAAGTGTCAGGAGCTGGTAAGGCGTGACATGACCGAAGGTTCTTCTATTGAATTTATTGGGTATCAGATGTAGGAGCAAGAGCAAATAGCTGCACAGTCTAATATTCACAAGGCATCAATAAACAGAAGTGTGTCAGGTTTTTTTGATATTGTGATTGGTTTTTTAGATATTGGCATCTGAAGTTGGAGTAGCTAAAAATATGCAAGGCATGTTGCCTAAATGGACACCATGGACAAATATTTCAAATATCAAAATTTCTGGACAGACTTTCGTTTTTGATTATTCCTAGAAAGTTTTGGCAAAATTTGACAAAAATCGGCCAAATCTACATTTGCTATAAAATCACTCAAAGTGGTTGTACTCCTTCCAAAATTAAATGTAAGATTTTAGCTCATAAAGGTTCACAAACACTGACATGACACAATAATGAGCAAAGTTGCCAGAGGCAAAGGCAAAACCCATGGTAAAGATGGAAAAACCACAAAATGTGCTGAGGAACAAGACAATGAATCAACACACAGTTTTCAAAATTATGATTCGAGGCCATTGATAATGTTTTAGTATCAAGGCTGGCACTTACATAAAGAAAAGTAAACCTCATTTTTAACACTATGTAAGGCAAACTTTGGTGACTGATGGTAACTTCTTTGTTTGAAGTCTGGACATTAGCATGGAGTTCTGCCATTACTAGTCACTTTCACAAAGGAATTTTTTTTCTTTTCTTAACAGAATGGTACTCTTTCTTTCTTCTTAGGGCCTGTTTTTTTTTTCTTGTTTTACCAAAACAAACAGAGAGCTTCCATGTGTTAATTTTGTAAAGTGCACGATGTAAACAAAATATGGAAATAACATAAAAACGAGCCCTGAGATGAGCAGTTGCTGCAAAAATTTGGATTTGGGATTTTCCCAGGTCTGAGATTATAACACCTTCCTGATTTATTAACTTTTATTTGAAAATACATTTTTCTTAATATCAAAGGTACTTTTAAATATTTCAGAAATTTTTTTATGGAACATTAGGCTGAATGTTTGAATTCAGTTTAGTCAAATATATGAAAAATCAATTTTTTGGGCCTCCGAAGGTGGGAAGTAACCTTAAGCTTACAATATCATTCCTGACTCAAACATTAGGTCACAAGAATAAAAGAAATGATCACAAAACAAAAGAAGCTCTTGATTGTTGGACAAAGTCTTGTTATCGGCCCCTTAGCAAGAGTATACTATAGAGAATAGTAAGGGGAATGTGCACACTGATGTTATGATGATTTTACCTTCGAAAAAAGGGTTAATTAGAAGTGATATTATTTATTTGGTGCTGTATTCCCTGTTTATGGAGAAAATTCTCTAAAGCTGATTTTTAACCCATGGAAGAAACAATGTCAAATACTTCTATCCAACAAAATATTTATACTCACAACATTTCTTGAGGATTACAGGTTTCTTGTACAAATTTAAGATCATCTATGTATAGCTTGCCACATTTTTTACCCAGTTCATACATTTGTTGCTGACCTACTTTAGTAAGCTGACCAATTGGACTTCCTCCCTAAAAAAAGGGAGAAAAATGAAACATTTTTGTTATAAGGAATTGATTATAATTAGGAAAGTGAAAGGTTTTATCCATGCAAGTGGTTATTGTACCATAGTACACATTTGCATCTATTACATTGCTACCAAATGTTCTCAGGTTGATAGGTTTTACCACATTTTGCTAGGTAAAGGTGCTTTGCAAGGGACTCTGCTTAGACCTTTGGCTATTGCTGCAAGCTGGCAGGTTGGCAACCATAAAGACTACAGCTCTTTGAGAAGCAGGTCACAGGCCATAAGCCACATGCTGCCATTCATAACCCTGACAAGATTTTGGCAAATTAGTTGTCAGGTGGCCATGACATGGATACCAAATGATAGCAATAACAGCACTCTAACTACCATCACAAAAACCCTTTGGAGTTTGTGTATTTAAGCAACTCAGTTTTTAAGCTGCATTTCAATAGATCACAGATCATTTTTAGCATGTTACAGTTAATTCTTTAATCCTTGTAATGATGGATCCTCGTTCTCCAGTTGATTAAGTCAGTTGATGAACCAGAAGGGTTTCACATTGTCTAAGTAGCATGAAGCGAATATGAACTATAGGTAATGCTGTTCCCCCCCAACAGAATGCAGGGTTACCCCGGCTAAATATTTTGTCAGCTGTTCTTAAGAGTTGACTTAGTACTTATTCAGACTTTTCTTGGCTTAAAACAAATATACATTACTACATCTACCAACAATTGCTTCCTACACTTCGATACTACGGCTAAACAACACTACAGTACAACCAACATGCCTGAACTACTTACTACAGGTGCCTACGATTACTTGCGTAGAAACTCGGAATGGAGTGCCAACTGCAAAAACACACTGGCCCAGTCAGGCTTCAAACCCGGACCATCCGATCTGTGGTCTGAAGTTCAGCCCACAAACTCGAAGGCCACTGCATTTCATTGAAGTTGCATTCTTCAAGAGGGCAATTAAATTTCTCGATTCACAAGGAATTTCTAGAGCAACTGCAGAATACCTGGCCACTCATTTACATGTCATTGAATAAGAATAGCGTCTATTGTGTTAGGCCTCGATCTTCAAAGCCTCCCGACACATGTAAGTGAGGCAGACCAAAGTGGCCGGGTATTCTGAAGTTTAGGCCTCGATCTTCAAAGCCACTCATCTTCAAATTAGCAGAAAGCTTTATACTACCTTGAGCAATTTTTTCATCTGGCGATCGTCGTATTTAGAGAAGGGTTTAGGACCTCCAGACAAGTGTTTAAGCTCGTAATCAATGTTCGTGTGGGGAAGGGCTCCCATCAAAAGTTCTGCATTCCACGTCATCGGCTCTAACTCTTTACAAGGCGCCTGAAAAATTGGCGTTCTGGCACCATGTCGGAAGGCAATTTGAACCAAGACCAGCTCTAGGTTTGAGTTTACTGAACCATTTTTTGAATCTTCTGTTATATCCTTGGATAATTTTAAAATACCACCAGCGGCCAGTGAAAAAGTGGAAAGCCGGAAAACCTTACTTATGGCGGCCATCTTGATCACCTGAAGATGATGTGACCCGTGAGTGAGTCACGCCAAATAAGGGGACGAGGATTGGTTTCCAGGTTCTTTCGACTTCGTTGGCCACTCCACTACTTCTACGGCGAAGAAGGGATTTACAAGGCGGAAATAATTTCATCCAGTAGAATTTTCAGTTTCTTATCCTGGGTTAACCATAATTATTAAGCCGTTAGACTTAATGTGTAACACAAGGACATAGCAATAGAGGCCCAAGCCCCTAAACGAAGGTTAAAATGAACTCTGAGAAGGCCCCAAACATATTTATGCTAAGGAACGCAAACGTTATCACTGTTATTACCACTCTGGAGGGTATTTACAAAATTAAAACTGAAAAAAATGACAACAAAACAGTCAGAACACACGTGAGCGTTTACAAGTTACAAATGGCCTTTATTTTCCCGGTTATGAAAATATATCAAGCGAAGCTGACTAGTTACACTGACTCTCGCCATTAGAATTTTCAAACATACGAAAGGAAAAGTCGATAAAGGTTTGAACCTACTTATGCATTTACCAAACAGACAGTTTGGCATAATTGGCCGAAATTGAAATTGAAAACCGAAAAGCTTACATGCACGGAAGAAAACCGAAAAGCTTACATACATGAAAGCTTTTCTTAAAAGAAACGGACGGCTAAGAGTGTCCGAACAAGCACTTTTCTTTACATGTGCGGCCGAGCAATCCTCTAAGTCCTCCTCTTGAGTGTATATCAAGCTTTGTTCACTTTTATGAGTTACAATGTCGCGAATTTTCTTTGATTTCTTTCACTTAAGCTGTCATGAGAGTGATAAAAAAAGAATTCTTAATCTCTTAGAGAAAGTAAGTCGTTTCGAGTTCTTTGTATCTCAGTGGTTGAACTTTAAACAACGGAGCTCGAACCCTATGGTCTGGGGTGCGATTGTTTTTGAGAAACTCGCATATGTCATTGTCCCGTGCTCGGGATAAACGGATAACATCTTCCTCAATTACACGACCGAGCTCGAATTGTGGTCATCGAGAAAATCATGAACATGGAACACCAAGAATATTTCGGAATATTGCAAGACATCCTGGAGTAACAAAATGTTGTAATAGCTATGAGAAAAATATGTCAAATTAGATCAATTACTTGCTGCAGCGCATGAAAGTGATTCAACAGGCAGTTTGGTCGGCTAAATGGCAACGTTGTCAATAAGCGCTTGTTTGCTTGAGCCGGGCTGGCTCGGTTGTCACGTAATTACGAAATTGATTTTTGTTGGGTTAGGCAAAAGTGCCGAGATCTAAGCAAACCAAGCCAGCCCAGAAAACCGGAGGATATGAAATGAGGCCCTGCGTCCTAAAAACTCTAGATATTGTTCTTATGAGGTAATCGTTAAGAAGAATTTCAACTCTTGCCATGGAACACTTGAACCAAGGTAATTTTATTGGCTGTGTCCTAATACTAACTTAACAAACAAATATTACGTACGCGATAAATAAAGAGCGAACTTTTTCTGAAACTAATTCAAAGCAGTCCAGCTTAGGTTTGAGAACGGGAGCTTTAATCATGGATCGATTAAAATATTTCTTACAGAAGTCTTTATTACTTCAGTTTAATTTTTTAAGTGACCGGTGTCGATTTCATCTTGGTATATCTGCTATTCAACCTGATTTCGCCTCGCAAATGTGAATGGAGTTATCCCGGCTTTACGGTTTACGTGACCTCACGCTTTCCAACTGCTCCACCCAGTGTTTATGGAACTTATTGAAGCCAAGCACGAGCTCTTCGGCGTTGACTTTCTTTGACTCACTTTTTGACTGTAGAGCAATCATTTGTTGCTTGGCGTCGTTGGGAACCAGCGTGCCTGATTTCGATTTACCTGAAATGGAAAAAAAGTATATCGATGAATGAAAAGTAGCAAGTGCGCCATTTTCAGTCAGCCGGTCTGTCAGTCAGTAAGTCAGTTAGTCGATAGGTCAATACTTTTCAGTCAGTCGGTCAGTAATTTAGTGAGTCAGTGAAACAGTGAGTTAGTGAGGCAATGAGAGAGCGAGTGAGTGAGTCAGTCAGTGAGTCGGTCGGTCGTCATTCAGTTATTCTACCAGTCAGTCAGTCAGTTACTCGGTCGGTCAATTTGTCAGTCAGTCAGTAAATCAGTGAGTCGGTGAGTGAATGAGTGAGTCAGTAAGTCAGTGTGTCAGTGAGTCAGTCAATGAGTCAGTGAGTCGGTAAGTAAGTTAGTGAGTCAGTCAGTTAGTCGTTTGGTCAATTTGTCAGTGAGTCAGTAAGTCAGTGAGTGAGTCCGGAAATCAGTCAATAAATCGATGAGTCAGTCAATGAGTGAGTCGGTAAGTCAGTAAGTGAATCAGTCAGTCTGTCGGTCGGTCATCATTCAGTTATTCTATCAGTCAGTCAGTCCGTCTGCAAGTCAGTCAGTCAGTCAGTCAGTCAGTCCGTCTGCAAGTCAGTCAGTCAGTCAGTCCGTCTGCAAGTCAGTCAGTTAGTTAGTCCGTCTAGAAGTCAGAAAGTCAGTCAGTAGGTCAGTTAGTTACGCTGTTAGTCCCTTGGTCTATCAGTCCAGTCCGCTAGTCAATCATTCACTTAGCCTATCAATCAGTCAGTCAGTGAGCAAGTGAGTAAGCAAGTTCAGTAGTGATTGAGTCAGTCAGCCGGTCAGATGGCCAATCAATCGATCAACCTTTCAGCTAGTTGGAAAATGAGTCAGTCAGTTATCCAGCAAGAGAGTGACTGAGTTAGTCAGTTAGCCATTCAGTCTGTCATTTAGTCAGCCACTCAGTCAGCTGATCCAGCCGTACTAATAGCGGCTAAAGGTACCACTAATGACCTACCATGTTTGATCCTTCGACATGGAAATCCACATAAGAGTCCTTGTTTGTATCTTCGATATAACTCCCATAAGAGTCCAATGATTACGAGACTGCCCACAATAATGACCCCATTTCTGACAATTTTCACAAATGTTGTTTGTTGGTAAAAGAGAGCTTCCGTCGCTTCAACTGCCAAGTTTTTATCAGTTTGTTTGGTCTGGCAAATGAAATAGGATCAGTTTTTAGTTTGAATATTCGCTGTAGCATGCATTATCAAAGCACGTTAGAAATGGCAACTGACAAGACTCTCCCCTTATTACCAGTTCATCTGCAGTGTCTCATACACGGGCTATTAAAGGCAGTAAACTGAGAGCTATTAATTTGAGTTCATAGGAGTTTAATATGCGTTCTCTCCTAATGTAATTTAAACTTTTCTTTGCTTCCTTCTCGGGCAGAGAATTGTGATGGGGACTGTTCTATAGGTCACCGAAAAAAAAAAACAAAGACACAACCAATAAGCACACAAACAAAACAAAATAAATAAATTTAAAAAAGTGTAGGACATCTTACACAATATCTTAATCTGGGGATAAACTTCAGACTTTCAAACTATACTTCTGTTGTTTACTGATATCATGAATCTGTCCGATTAGTTCATATAGTTGATCAAGAGATTTTTTAGAGGTGAATACTTGTATCAACAGAAAGAGAAAGGTATATATTTTAATCAACTTACTGTTGATGACAAACGTGGCATTTCACTTGCTCGCTGACTAAGCAGAGAAGTCTCTTTAGTGACAATTAAAAGCGTTCTTGTCTTAAAAACTTTTAAAATTGTTCTTCTCTCGTCCACCTTAATTCTCTATTTCACTTCGTTCCTCACCTTGATAGGAATGAGATATTTTGCCATGTGATCAAATATTTCATGGTTGTAGTTCCTCATGTAACGCCTCACACACTGCGTGGTTTGAGGTGCCCCGGATGGAAGTACAAGGCCGTATGTGATCGGATGTTCAATCGTGCGTTCTACTCGCAATCCCTGACCCTTCTCCAGGAACTGGGAAAACCTTGTCAAAGCATAATTGTCAATCAAAAGACCGTCAATTTCGAAGTCTTGCACGGCTTTAGTCATCGCCACCGGAGTGCTAAATGCTATATCAGAAAAAGAAAGGAATAAAAAAAAACTTGATAATATTGGTCTGACACTTAAATTGTCATCTACAGATTTCTGAAAATAAAATCGAAGAACAAAGGAGCAAACAAACAAGTAAATAGTATAGAGAAATATGTTTTTTCGTCTTGTCACGAGCGTGGGACCAAGAAGGATCCCCTTGAGGAATCGAACCTCGGAACTTCGAATTCCGCGTTCCGATGCTCTGCCACTGAGCCTCTGAGACTCTATGGTAAGCGAGGTCTATTACGAAAAGTAATTTGTAAAAGCATCGATCGTTGACGGTTGACTTGCTTAATGATCCCTTCCGCAGCCTTTCCCCAGAGGGAACGTTGCTCGATATCCGGCTACTTAAGAAGCTACTTACTTAATGGCTCTGCCATCGTTTTAATCTCTTGGCCTATCTCATCTCACCTTGCATATCAAAGTTAATGCTGACTCCAAGTCGAAACTCTTCACTGCCGTTTACTGCACCAATCTGATGGATATGAATCGATTAAACGTTTAGATTGATATATTATATTAATATAGGGCTGTTTGGGTTTTGAAATTTATCGTTTACGAAAGAGATAGGTATTTAGGTCTCTTCCTCAACTCTCCCGCAAAGTTAAAGGATGAGTGGAAATAGAAAGACCTTTTTTTAGGTATATCAGAGACTCGTTCTCACATCAGCCCTAATTTCAGAAAAGGACAATCACATATACTTCTTACATACTAGTACCAAACTTGTTCAACAAGGCGTAACGCTACTGATTGTTTGTGCGAAGATCTCTCACCCACTTTAAAGCAAACTCCGCCTAACAGGCGAAGAACAGAAAAAGGCTCGGAAAAAATAAACTAACTGGCGCTGCGCTCTTTGCCTTGGCTTAACCTACGAACGGGGTCCATGCTCGTTACAGAAAGATTGAAGCAAGTACCTTAGCGCCATGAATGTTAAAGTAGGGTCTTGTTGTGGCTGTAACAGAGGCTGTGACCAATGCAGTAAATATCGATATGATATTTATTCCAGTAATGATCCAGATGAAACAGAAAAGTCTACCCGGCAATGATTTAGGGGAACTGTCACCGTACCTGGTAAAACAAAAAAAAAAACACTATCAAGTTTAAAAAAGGGATGTACCGTTCCAATAATGATACGTAAGAGAAACGTTCTCAAAAGGAGTTAGCCTTTTTTTTTTATCTCATATTCAACAACTTAATGCAATCTGAATAAGACACTTAACCCGGTCATGATGACTTCCGGTTAGATTGTCCAAATGTCATTCGTTGTCTGTGTCCAGGTAACGGTCCTTTTCGGATCACTCCCAGCCGGGTGATCAAATTCGAGAAATTATACAGGTTATAAAGTCCTGTTAAAGTACATGATCAATTACTACTCTTGTGTTTAAATCATTTACTGTTAAATGATCATGCTCGTTATTCCAACGGCCATGTGTGAATCGTTCCTATCCTCAGTCACCTTCGAAGATATCCTTAAATCCTTGCATCTTTGGTGTTTGGGACCTTGCAAAACGATTCATGGCTTAATCTATGTAAACTTTGACAAAATTATTTCTCTCTGGTACTCAGAACGAATCAAAATGTTGTTTCGTGGCTTACTGCATAAAAAGTTAAAATACATGTATGGCTGTAACTGTTCACACACAAATACGGGTCAGTATTCAGTTTCCTCTAATCATAATTTTTCCGCCAACAAAATAGATCTTTACAGAGGGTAATTTTCATTTAGCCCTTTTGTTTATCTAACTTTAGCCAAAGGAAGTGGTGGAATATTTGTATATCACTTACCCTACTGTTGTCATGGTAACAACCGCCCACCAAAATCCGTCCCAGGCTCCGTTCACAAATTTCTTGGAAAATTCATTAGAGAAGAAAACAAACTCCTGTAAAAAAAAAAAAGATTATTTAAAGGTGTTACTTGCAATAACCAGTTACCAGTTCAGCCTTTGAGTGAGGACGAGAGAAGAAGCAGGCAAGCAATTCACAGCTGTTATGGTTTTCAAGGAGATGGTTTTCCTTTCAGTGAAAAGTACCTTGAATAGAAGTGAGTATTAGAGTGATTCTTAACTAAGTCACGGCAAAATCATTACTTTGTGCTAAAAAACATTTTTATGCTGTGTTGTTGGTTGCTTGTTCTTTAGTTCGTATGACATATAAATGAGCTTAAGTCCTGCAGTGATTCTTATCTGTATGCTCACCAGTAGCCACACCATCATTCCAGAAGCGCCTGCTGCAGCCAGAATAAATACCAAGAACGGCCAAGTATCGAATATTGTGCTCGCGAAATTCTTTGTTTTCTTTGTTCCCTTTGCGGAAAAACATGATCAAATTATTGTTATTTGATTACTGATACGTGAAAATGATTAATACACCAGAATTTTGCTATTAAATAAAACTTTCGAGACTAGGAAAGTATAGAATGTTCACTAGTTCATACTACCAAGACCGCCTGAACACCAGACATCTCTTATCTGTTTTTTTTTCTTTTTTCAGATAATTCCTCAGCTGAAAATCCTACGTGCTCTTCTAACTTTCAGTGGTATGCACAACAAACTGCTATATCAAAAATCATAGAAAGGAGAAGAGAGGTATGGCTTCACTTCGTTAATCATGATGAAGGTCGGCCCCGACTAGTAATTCCTTTGTCTACTTGATCTTGTTTGGAAAGAGATACTCAGTATTTTAAGAATTTTTCCTAAAATTGCGACGACCCGGCCAGGGCTAGAGCTCGGATCTCTCGATTCCGAGTCCACTAAACCAATATCCACGCCGGTGCATCCCCCTAGTGACACCACGAACTGTTTCCACCAAACTAAAGTTATAACTGTGATCAAAACATGTCTATACCTTCTCAGAGACCAGTAACATAACCCGAGGTGCTGTGACAACTGGGACAAACGGTTGATCACGGTACGAGTCCTTGTCTACTTTGGCGATGTACACAGGAAAAGTAAAATCGTACTTCTGTTCAGAGAAAAAATCTTCAGCTTCCCAAATACTCTTCACGAAGGCACCGTACTTGATTTTACTTCCGTTGCAACAATGTTGAACAATTCTGTTGATGACATCTGTTGATTGAATTTATATCCATTAGTATCAGAACTTTCTCATGATTACTCCCCTAAGGAGTTTTAAATTTGTTGAATACTCCTAAGGGCAACTTGACCAATTCCCAATGTCACCGAAGCCCTATCCAAAGTCGCCCTCCGATGGTTTCCTGACGGCCGACGAAAGAGACCCGAAAGAGAGTACGTCACGGCTGATGCATCTTGACTAAATTTGCCTAAACCTTTCATTTTTTCTTAGCCATCCTCTATTATTTACGGGTAACTCTTACCTCCCACTTGTTTGTCCGCCCTCCCAAGCTATCAAGTTTTAATTCCACTGTGTTTCATTCCACGAAAGTTATTCATTTGAGAACGACTACGCCCAAATTAGTACCCTCATCGCGTAGTACCTTCAGTGACTTAAAATTCGAAAAGGAAAGAGGAACGTACAGTAACTCACTTGGAAATATTCCTCGTGCGGCAAAGCCAAACTTTTTGCCAAATCTCGGTCCCAAGATCCCAGCGTACGGCAAATTCAAACTCCACGAAATGGAGAGTCCCATGCCCTTCTGACAGCGCTCGTCCAGAGAGTGGGTGGTCAGATTCCTGAATTCTTGTGTTATCCTACCAAATCTTCTAGGTACGTAAGTGTTCTTGAATTTAATAAATATGTCATCTGAAGTCAAATTTGCGTCCTTTTCCCATGCAACAAACAATGCGTTCGACACAGACACTGTGCTCAAGAATACCATGTGGGTGACAGTCAAACGGCACATCATTGTTGGAGTACTCCTACGAAAAGAGTACGTTTAATGAAAAAAAGAAATAAAAAATGATTAAAAAAAGCTTATGGTTAGTTAATGATGAAATATAACAATTATTCAAGCGAAAGTCCAGCGAAATGCCAGGTGTTGAAAATTTCTGAAATACGTTTATAATATTAAAAAGAATAAGGGACGGTTCCCTCAAAAAGGTGACATTTAAGAGCCCCCTAAAGAGTGGTAATTCTGATGAAATGGCTCACAGTTGTGAGGCATGATGGCAACGCTTCCGTGTAGAATACAGAATACATCCATTTTCTTTAATTTGACTCTGTTACATACGTGGTTTAATTTGAGAAGGTTTTTTTACAATCGCCGATTTATTTCCTTGTAATAAATGATCTGTCCTTCTAGGAAATTTTAGTGACGAAAAAAAGGAAAAGAAGGGACGAGGAAAGAAAGAGCAAACGGTAGTGCATGTGACTCTGATGAATAGCGAGCCTGATAATTAATTAACGCCCATCGCCGCAGGAGATCATTGAATTGTTTGGTGGCTGATAGTTCACTTTCAGTGACAATTATGGTGTAAAAAAAATTAAACGGCACAAGTTTCAAATTGCGAAAGGAAAATTGGAAATACCAAAACATTTTCCATGCAAATTACAGTTACCTGGTCCTTTGTGTTGGGATCGAAGGCTTTAGTGCGGTTGAAATAATGACGGGTGGTTTTGGTAGGCGTGTCAATATAGATTTACTAGCGTGGTCGGGTTGGTGGAATGAAAAGGACAAAATTCCTTTTGTCGCAAATCATTTGTTGGGTTGAGCTAAAGCTGTATATGCGCCATCAGCTTGCAGTGGTTCTTAGTGTCTTTGTTGACGTATTTACGATGGTAATTTCCGAAGCCCTTCAGTTCTCCTTTTCCTTAAAGATATACTTGATATCCTTCCCAAACTTTCATTTGAATTGTTAAATTTCCTTCATATATTTCTGAATTGGTCGTTATGATAGGTACTACAAAAATATTGAAGCATTTTAGATTGAACGCTCCCGTCCAGTCTCATCTGAGGTCGTTCATTCTACTGCTACGAAAACCTATCGCTGTGTAACCTTGTAAGAAAATACTAGTTATTATTGTCTTTTTAGAGGGCACGGTAACGAATCTTGCAATCTGATTGGTTCTTTACCCGGTCAGTATTTTCCTATCTCTGCCCACGGGCCACGGTAACGCTTTCGTGAGTCGCCGAGTACATCCCAACTTTCGTTGTCATTTTTCATAAATATACCTCGTTTTCCGGCTGGGCAGTATTTTTAAGCAAACACGTCGGTCACTACCTCAAGCCGATAAATAACTTATGGATCCTCTCTTTTCTCTCTATCAAATCACTTTGGTTGACAGAAAAATATTGGTTTCAGAATGAATTTGTATAAACAATAGTGTCATTACGTTGGTTGACAAGCGGCCTAAAAACCGTCTGCAATTAATTTTAATCGTTCACAAAAAGTACCCAGAAAGTTGAAACGTGAGGTATTTGGTTACAGTTAAACTGAACGATGGAACTTTCATTCATTTAATATCTGAATTTTCTCGAGCAATTTGTTCATAGTGAAAGAGCGAGCGAAGTTTTAATTTAAGTTCTACAACAAATATACGCTCCTGGTGAGTCTTTCCAATTCCGTTCAATTTGGACATTTGTACCTTAAATTGCACAACAGAAATTGAAGGAATTGAGAAAAGGCCGCATTACATTCCCTTGTGTCTCGTTGGAGTGTGCCGTTCGAATTTAGTTTTTGTGAAGGAAAGATCAGGGTTAAACACGCCATTACAGCAAACAAACGAGCAAACTCTCACAACTTCAAAATAAAAAAATTGAATTTACTCACAATTACTTTCCTCGCCGTTTACTTAATGAACAGAGGTAAACCTTCGTACATGAATGAATGGTCGATGAGAGTGAATAATACTTTCCGTTAGATCATTAACTGATTTTGAAGAAAACATTGTCGTGACAGTCCTTGCCAAACTAGTTCTGTTGGTTTTCAAATGTTCCTACGCTTTTTTTTTCTTGCGCGCTCTCTAATTGACAGGTGTCAGATTGTGACAGATACTTGTAAAAATAATGTTTCAATGTTTGTTTGGAAGCCTTTTAAATCACCTTTATCGTTACGGAAATGAAAATGTTTCGCTGAGGCATCTCTCTTAAATTTGCATCACCTCTATTTTAACTACCATATACTCACTCAAAAATTGTTCAGTTTATGGAAGATCTTGCCGTATTTACGGCCATAAGTCATTCGGGTTCTTTCGGAAAGAATTTCGTCAAGTTTAAAAACAATAAATATGTTATTTACCGGCTAAGGGTCGGTCCGTATGGTGAAAAACTGTGACCTCGGTCTTGAAAATGCTGCCCGAGGCCTACGGCCGCGGGCAGTAATTTCAAGACCTCGGTCACAGTTTTTCACCATACGGACCTCCCAGCCGGCAAATAACATATATTTATTTGATAGTTTTGAAGGTAATAAATCCCGGAACGTCGGGTAACAATTCGGAGACTTATTCATTTCTTGAATATGGGATAAGAAAGAGGGCGAAATTTCAGCTCATTCGTCGAAGAAAAAGAAGAGAAAGATTTTGTTCGCTTTACTACGAACTTGGGATCGAAAAAAAGATCTTAGTCCTGCATGAGAAATCGAGTCCCTGACCTTCTGATTTAGTGTTCGAATGTTCTACAACTGCGCTAATACCAAGATCTCGATGATGAGGGAGGCCTTGTTTTAATTCCATATTTGATAACAGTCCTGCATTATGCAAGGAGCGCGTCACAGCTTAACTGAAGACTTCCAAACTATTGTGGGCTTTTGCCTTGACAGGTATCGATTGGTTCATGGTTAATCTACAAACAGCGAGATCCAATCAATCGGGCAAATGGCAATATTTTGGCAAGATATATCAAATATAATATTGATCACAACGAAGAAATTATAGGGGAGCAATTCAAGTTGAAATTACGAAAAATGTGTTGTTTAAAATCAGAATAGGAAAATGATTCGAACGTATCGGCTGACCCCCGGACTAACTGTTCTATTATTATGAAATATTCTGGTTCAAGTTTATTCTTACATTCTCAATTATCGAGGGACTACAATTAAAGAGGCTGTCGGAACATCAAAAGCTAATAGGCTTAAGATTTGATAAAAGGGGAATACACTTTTTTCGATATAGGAAAGTCTAATTTTTGGGCTGAGACGTTCTTATTTTTTTTTTTTTCTATTTGAGCCCGAAAACGTTCTTAACTTGTTCTTAAAGTTATGTGATGTTGTGTTTCAATAGATCAGTTCGGACGTGAGTTAATTCTCCTGTTCGACCACAGTTTTAAAAAAAAGCAAAATAAAGACGTTGTTAACCGACTCTCAGCCTGGGTGTGTTCTCAGTATGTTCTTAAAATTTTGGTTAACCCTTTACACCCCAAAATCAGCATGCAATATTCTTCATACTGTTCATCATACACTTCTGATGTGTTCAGGGGCTGACAAGGAGAATTTTTTTAAAAATAAAGAAATTCTTTAGTTGTTGATCATTTTCTTTATTCTTGTGACCTTCATGTGTGATTCAGGGGAGTTATTGCGAAGAGAAATTAGATGTTAGTCGCTCTTAGGGCTGAAAGGGTTAATCTTAGCCTCAACTGATCAGTGCAACATCATTGAGATCCATGAAAACATGAAATTGTTAAAGTTATTGCTTTGGAGCGACGACTTCCTTTAGCAGAGAAAATCTCACACTGGTTTCTGACTCGCTGTGTTTCTGTTGTAATCACAGCAGCGCTTTCAATTAACTGTCTTGGTTGGTAGAACTATCTTTATATGTACTAATGGAAAGCGTTTAAACCGATAAATTACTGTACTTTTCATTACGCCTCTTTCGCGGTGCCATGAACGAAAAATTGAATCACTTGGTAGTCTGTAAACATGCGATGAAATAAAGCAAAATCTAATAAATTTTGACACGTAATATCAATGATATTTTTCTACGAGCTGCAAACTCAAAGAAAGGCCCTGAACGTAAAAGCAAGCAGGACGTTAATAAATAGAAGGATCTCCAGCAGTTTGATGCAGGTTAACCATCTTGAATTACCATCAGGGGAAAAAAATTTTAATATTGTGCTTGGAGTCATGAACGTAGTGCGCCACGAATTCCAAAGGATCCAAAATGTCTTTGAAGTTTTTGATGTTCGGTGTAATTTTACAACTCTGTCGGAATTTATTATACTTCTACAGTTTCAGTTCAGTATGTTTGTTGCTAACAATGAGGCCGAATCGAATTAAGCCAGTTTTCAGAAAAGGTGACGCCAATAACTCGCCGAGCTTTCGCAGAAATATCGTTTGTTGAGCTACAGCACACTAAGCTGGACGGGTTCACAAACTCTTAAAAAACAAAAAAAATTCTCGAAAATGTTTTGTCTGTATTGTGATGAAGTACATTAATATTCGCATTAACGCACAGAATCGCACGCACGATTGTTGCAATTCATTCTTTCGTAGGTGAATCAACCAACAACCGAACCTTCGTTAGTAAAAAAAGGAAAATTCGGCTGAACCATCGACCAAAATCAACAGTAAGGCTCTATCGTATTCCACAACCTTGAATTCTGAGGTCAGCGTCTTTCATCGACTGAATTTAGCTGGATTTAGTGGCTTGTTTCGGGTAATTCATAATCGAACTTTTAATCTTGAAAATAGCCTTCGAAATCATCTATGGACCAAAACTTGAATTTGAATCATGTTGAATCATGTTACGTGTACTTACCCTTATTTTCGATCTCAACTGGTGGATTCAGCGAGTCGCAGGAGTAAAATATATGTAATAATACATTTCGGGTAATTTTCAACTTTGCGCTATTTGCATTTCTAAACATTAATTTCAGGTGTTTTGGGACTTATAGGGCGCATGTCAATAACATAGAGCGGCCTTGAGTGATGAAATATTTATACGGAAAGAGGTTTGTCTGACTCAAATAACAAAAAGTTAAAAGGATTAGATAAAAAAAAAACAGTGGTTTATGGCAAAGAGCAAGGGATTTCACATTTCAGGATGCAAATTTTACATTTGACATGTCAGTGGAAGCGTTCACAGTAACAGTTTTTCATCCCATTGTTTATCAGATTAGCTCTATTAACTCGAAGACTGAGTGCGACAACAAAACACTTCAAAACAAACAGAAAATTGCATAAAATTATTGAATGACATGCTAATGTAAAACCAAGTCAAAAGAAGGTCTGCTGGATATTTTCTGAACTAGTATCATTTTCTCGTCTTCAATATTTTAAAAATATTCGCTTAATTTGCCAAGTCTATAAATGATGTTAAAAACGACGGCTTAGCAAGCAAGAAACTACTTTGGCAAAATAATGTTTTTCTGCATTTAAAATAATTGCTTAATTCTAATATCAACAACGGATGCAAGCAGCCTAAAAATTGTTGATTGCACGAAATCAACACGGTCGAAGAAATGGCAGGCAACTTTCTTCTTTCGTAAAAATCGTACGATCAAGTGAACTAATTTATATTTTCATTTCTGTAAACTATAACTTTTTCTTCGGCGCCGAAAAGGCTTATGTTAATTTCCCCTAGCAAGAAAATAGTAAGCCGCTAAAACGTTACTAGCAGGTGCTTTTGATGCAGATTATCTCACTCTCTGAGCTTTCAATAAGGGTGAATTATATTGAAGGAGATTGGCGCGAGAACAATTACTTTAACTAGCTGGAGCCTATTGAGTATGGAAAAATACACCTAATGCAAAGCTGCATTATATGGAAGGATTTGCAGAAATTTCACGGTGACACGCACGAGCCTTTACGATGTTAACATATGAATCAATGAAAAAGCTCACAATCTAACACAACATTTGACCAGGTGAAAGAAAGACAATTGCACCATTAAGCAAGGATTTAGACCTTTTAGTTGACAGAAAACAATTCTTTTGAAAGGGGGAAGGGAATATTTTCGTGACAATTTTTTTTTTCTGAAAGTTTACTAATGCTTCTTCCATTCTTCAAGCCTCCTTTCGAATCGGTAATGGTAGATCCCTCAGAACTTGCATTCATTCCAAACTCATTGTTGATTTACCATCCACCCTGAATTATGTTTCAATATCATAATATGAAAGAGAAAAAAAAAGGCTGACTATTATACGACCCAAATTCACAAAGAATTCTGCCGATATTTGTGCATAATATCTTTAGGATCTTCATCTAGAATAAACAAGGCTGATAGTTATCAGTTTTTTTCAGGTACATTCTTTTTAGAAACATATCAAACTCTTTCCCCAGTGCGACGAACATTTGTTTTCTCGGTTCCAGGTGTACGCAACCACTAACCCCACGTAATGCGCTTGCTCTCAGTTACGAATTTTCAAAATGGCGGACAGGCCAAAGAGGGAAATAAAAAAAACAAAGCGATTTTGCAATGAATACTCAACATACACCCTCGTTAGAAAGGCGAATCCACGGAAGAAAGATACAAAACTGTATGATATTGAGATCGATATGATATTAAATCGATACCGAGGGCCCCAACTTGCTAAGAAGTGCATTTAATTGCCTTCCGCCACGATCACTAGCTTTCTTGACAGCTTTCTGAAGACAGAATAATTTCTTTCTGAAGACTTCTGATATGCGGCTATTGATTATTATACCTCGTATACCTGATTGCTCAAACACTTTGTTTACGATTTTTGAAAAGACCGACTCATGGTTCTCCGTCTTCGTCTTTACATTGCTTTGAAATAGTATAGATTAGTAGGCTGAAACGAAAAATTAATCAGGGAAGTTTACGAAAAATCCAGCAAACAAGCTTAAAAAAGGCATTTATTTAGACTTCATACTTCAACGAACTTCACAAATCTTACTTGTTTATTTTGTAAGTAAACGATGGCAGATTAATTCCCGAAGCGCTCTCCGAGTTTCCCGATCCCTCTCCTACTGCTTTCACGCTTACAAAACAGGAAAAAATCAAAAGGAGGAAGATACAGCTGTTTTGAAACACCATTTGACGAGAGTAAATCTGCTTTTCGTTCGACACTTTACATATCAAAACAAAGGAAATTTGTTCCTCTTTTTGATTCTGGCATTACATTTTTGATTTGCGCCTGCGTAAAAGAGATATCGCCTGAGACCCTTCGCTCGGTCGTGTTTTGATCAAAAACGCCTTGTTAATTTCACGCAACCGCTCGGAGAAAAGGTAAAAATGACGAGGGAAAAACTTTACCTTCAAGTTAGAAAATTAGCGAAATAGAAAGCCACATAGTTTAATATTTCAGAGGTACATTGAGTCCTTTTTTCGTAGAGAATCCGCACGATGGTAAAACATTCGAAAATTACACTCGATTTGAGTGGGGTGTTGAAGTGGGCGTGGTCACTACATTCATGTTAAGACTATTTCTACCCCATGAGTTTGATATGGATCCTCAAAATTCGACATGTGCATGTTATGATGTTCTGTAGCGCCTCAATGTTCTTTGGAAATTTCGATTAAAATCCCTCGAATCTTCCCAGCGACTTTTGTTCAAATTCTTTGAGGAATTTTTGCGAGAACGAAGAACGAAATTCGCGTATTGAGTTACGTTTGTACTACTCTTGTATAGCTGCAATCAGCGAACCGAACAGTTGATTTTTTTCATAATGAATGATATTATTAGGCGCTCTCTGCATTATTATGGCACTTCTGTAGCACTTTAGATATGCAAGTATATGGTTTTGGAAGTCATTAGAACATCATGTTTAAATTTCATTATCTAATTCAAATAAACCTTAAATAGTGCGCTCCTGTAACCCCTAAACAAACTTTATGTATGGCTGTCAACATTTAAGAAGGCCTATGGTGACTTTTTTTGTCAGGACTTCGGTCAAAATAACATGCTGGAACTAAACCAGCCGTTTTCAGATAACTTTTATAACTGGCTCATTTGAACACATACGAAAACTCTGAGCACCAGAGTACCGCAAATTAAACTGCGGTGATCACATCAATCCCCCCCCGTCATGTTTCTGTCTTTTGTGTTATAATTAAGCGCTTATCTTTTTGTTGCCAGCGTTCTGTCAGATAACGATTCAGGCAAGGAACTGTCCCATAGCGTTACGACTTGTTCTGGTGTTCCGGCTTGTTCCGGGGTGTTCTGGTGTTGTAATGTGTTCCGGTGTTCCTGATTTTAAGTCTTTTTATGCATGCCTCCTATTTCAGTTTGTTTGTTAACAGTTCCGACAGTTCCCTTTTTTTTTAAGTTTTCATCTTTTGTAGATCTTTCATTGCACGTTTAGTGCGGGTATTGATTTTGTGTCATTGATTTTTACTCACGGCAAGCAGAATTTGAAGGCATTAAACTTGACATCATGAGTAAATTTTTCACTTACTGATTTCCCTTTCCCTCTAATAAACTCCATTTTATAATTATTACAGAAAAATACTATGTATATTAATAAAGGACAGTCATTACTCTTTTATGCTTTTATTTTTTTATTTTTATTATTTTTATTTTATGTTTTTTTTTTCTGAGATATTAAGAACGAGAAAAGAAGATTTTCCATCGAGGTGAACTGTCGTGTTTCTGCTCTAACAGGATGCTCATTTCATTCACTGAAAACCGGATTAGAATGTGATTTTGTTTCACCATTGAAAAAATTCCATTCACCATGGAATTTTTCTGTGAACGCAGGTCGCTGTTCCTTTTTTTTTTTAAGGGAACTTCCAATTAATTATTAAAGAAAATTGCAGTCCTTGTACCTTTGAGGCAGATATAAATTTGGCGTGGCTTGTGGGAAGAACTTCACAGTATTTCGCGACAAACTAAGTCACAAGAGAGAGCCAAGAGAACCTTCAGAAAAAGGTGAGCACCTCTTTATAAATACTTGTACGGTTTTCCGGCTTTAAACGAAATTCAGACAGGAATTCGTGTTTCATTATTCCCGAATTTGATATTTTGACCTCAGTGGGAAAAAAATGATAAATTTTGGTCACCAAAAGGGAACTTTTTGAAACTGAAGACGCGTATGAAAATAAGTCTTGTCACTTTGGATAACAGACGCCTTTTAATTAGAAAAGAATTCGTCATTTTTCAAGTTCAATAAATAAGTTTTACCAAGTACTAGAAAATTGTCGGAATGACATCCATGCGGTAACAGCTGGAGAAAGTTTCCTGCACCCTGAAGCCTCGGTGTCAAGGTTTATGTGTTGCCATTTTATCAATCTTGTAATCCGATTACTGGCTACTCATTCATCGGTAAGAGATACGGGAAATGTCAAGTATTTCAAGAATTTTTTCGATTTGCGTTTACGATGCAAAAGGACGGCGGGCAAACCAGACGGTGGGCCGGCCACGGACATCCCATGGAAAAAGGGATATGGAGATCAAAGGTGAACTACATCCTTATTTTATATAAATACAGAGGAACTACATTACCTTTAGGTTAATATTATAAAATTTAATGATTACCATGACGATGCTTTTTGTGTCCCGGTGAAATTTTAGGTTGTTCAATTCCCTTCTCACGGCTTCATTTAAGCGTCCTGCTCAGAACCCATCCTCCTCGTGGAGAGGTGGGGAGGGGAAGGGGTGTTATATTGCATCCTCAATAACGTCTTTAAAGGGGACGACTGTAGCAGCGGATGACTTCACATTAAGTTTTAAGTTAGGTTAAACCATTATATTTTCTGTCTCATTTTCCTGCACGACCGGACCATGACAAGATATTAACAATTTTGTAGATCATTTACTGTCTCTGATGACATTGAAATAGCTGTAAATATGGAAACAAATTAGTGATGCCGGTAGATGTCTGGGCAGTTTTTTTTTTTTAGTTAATTCAGTTTAGGAAATATTATTCTTACTTTCATGGCCATCGAACTAGCGAAATTTGAAATATATGGAAACGAGTT